GCTGCAAGCGAATTCAGCCAAAGTTGGCTCAGCCATCTTTTGTTAATGGAACACATTTCTGTGGATAAGAAATGCCTTCATTCTTTTTACATTGGTGAGCAAGAGGACGGAACTGATGGGTTTCTTTATGGCAACTAATTATAACTATAGACTGGCTGTAAATAGAAATTACAACAGTAGTTTAATTCTCTGTGATACGAGCACTTTTATTCTTCTGACTATAGTCAATCCAGTGATTGTACATTTCTATAGCACATTTATGGATAATCAAGTACTCCTAATATCCTCTGCCCACATCTGCTTAGCCTTTCTGATTTCAGGGTTTGCTTTCCTGGATGTAGATTTCCTCCCAATAGGCCTCCTGTCTCCTGCTGCTACTGTCAGAGACGGTGAGAAAATATGAATGATGAGAGCTTACTTCTTCCCCTCCTCTAAATCTTAACCTAACCATAATACCTCTGAGTTAACATTATCAAGAACTACCTTGAGGGAAAATAATGGGCCTCTTTAATAAACTGCTGTCATTCTCCATTAGATTTCTAGCTCCCTAAATCAGGTCCAAATAAGAGAATTCTTGGTAGGCCAGGCATCCATGGACACTTTTCAACAAACCTGTCAGCAATTTAGATTCTTCCCCTTGTTGACTGCACAAAATGCAAGATGAGGAAGATAGAAAAGGACACACATAAGTGTATTCTAGTCACATGTAATCTCTTCATGAACATACTTGCTTATATGGTACTTTTCCCATTATCTTTCCCCCTACTCCCTTCAAATGCAACACCCTGGTATACAAGTTTTTAAAATGTATACAAACATCAAGTAGTGAATCTGATTTTAGGGCAATTTTATGCTTTTGTATGTATAGAAAAATAGTCAAAAAATATTTTTAGATAACAGCCTTAGTAGAAAGGACCTCTGCCCAATTTGGACCCACCCCCTTCCCCAATATCTCCTGTAATATTCTCAACTCTCTGGAGAGTTTTTTCAAGGGTAAAGATGGCTGTAGAGGGAGAAGGAGGGGAGTCAGGGATAAGAAAATCCCTTTCCATGAAATTAACTGCATTCATGGTTCTTGAGATCCATGCCATCTTCTCTGAAGCAACTCTTACTGATTTTGATGGTCTTAACATGCAAGTATGGATGCTTGGATTAAAGCCTTATTTTAATTTTATGATTCAGTATTGCTATGTGAAAAGTGCTTTTCCTTCAGGGATCAAAAGATGGTGGAAAGAAAAGCTCCAAGACTGGGGACAGCTGTTCAAACTCTTTGCCATGCCTCTGGTGCCTATCTCACCGCCACCACCAAAGACACCAGGGCAAGTGCTTCTATGTGGAACTATAAGAAAGGACAAGTCAATGTAACAGTAGTGGCAGCCGCTGCTGCATTGGAGCTGCAATTTCCCATGGGCTAGCCCATGCCCACCAGTTAGAATCTCATGCCAGTACCAAAATCCTAGCACCTCCTCTCTGCACATGTGAATGGACTATCAGGACTGACACATAAGCATGCCTTTAAAAAGTATTATTATGGTATTAATTATACTATACTATAATAATACTATAATAATGTATTATTATAGTAAGTATAAATGAATATTTATACTTTAGGAATTATAAATAATTGTATATTGAATCAGTTCTGAAATTTCTTTTCACAAGCAAACCTTCACACCCATAAATAACAAAATATCTGTATACATACCAAATGGCATCTTCGCATCCTGATAGACTCGAAGCTAAGTGTTAGAATAGGCAGGTGGATTTGCTTTACATAGTTGCACCTTTTGAGGACATCCAAATGAACATATAATATTTAGACATCCAAAATACAGGACTCTTGACCTCAGCCATGTGCTTGTTTAATTCTCACCTTCACTTTCATCACGGAAGCAAACATTCTAGCATCTTCAGACACGCCTCCTATGTATTGCTTTCTTGTGAAGACAGGAGCATGGTCATTTTCATCCTGTACTTCAATGAACACCTTGGCAGTATTACCTAAAATAAAACACAAGGAATTAGAAGAATTTGGCTGCACACTGAGTGCTTTTAAGTAATCAGCATTTCTGAAAAGAGACACATAATGGAAGGAAATTAATTTGTAGCATTAATGCCCTGATCTTAAAGGCCTGCAGAGGTACACTGTGCACATTGCATAGAGTGGCTTGCGGCCGATGTTGCTAAAATAGTATTCTGTGTGAGACTTGCTGGCCTATGCAACTCCATTATATAATGGTTCCTCAACTGCATGGAGTTTTGAAGTTGTAGCTGCTATGATACTCACAACGGCATTTAGGTGAAGTGTTCCTTTGTCCTTTTCTTTAGCTCCAGAATGACTTTGGGTGGTATCACTGCCCCGCATATGAGCATGATCATGGTAGTTATTGCCTGCTGCAATTGCACAGATCCATACTTCAAGGGCCACAATATTTTACTGATGTGGCACGTGATTATTATTTATTAAATGTATATTCCACCTTTCCTCCAAAATGAGCCAGCAGTCGTGACAGGGCACTGATATTGCAGTGACTGCAGTTCATTCTGAAAACAGACTAGAATTTCACATGGTTGGGTTGTTAATCACACAGAGACCATTTCACAACAAGGAGTGAGGGCAGGGTAGCAAAGTGGTAAAGGTGAAGCCATTATTGAATGGAAGAAGAAACAAGGTGGTAGGATTTGTGGGGTTTGTGTTTAGTGAGACAAAGCAAAGAGATTGATGTGGGACTAGTCACAGCATGTATTTATGACTCTCTGTCATATGAAAGTCTTGGTAGGTATCTCTTAGGAATGGGAAATTTTGCCTCATAATATAGCAAGGTAGCAGGTTGAACGATATGGCTACGAACTCTATCATCATCAATGCATAGACTGAGGCATCTAATCAAATGAAATCTAGCCTTGTATTTGTAACTACAATTTGGTTCCCAGCATGAACTGAATATGAGTAATCATACTAATAAAATGGATACCAAACTCACTGCAGCCAAATAATAGATCTTAGATTTGAAAGAACTTTCTTTCTGGTAACCTTGGGCCACAAGAGCACAAAGCCTGAACATCAATATGAAAAGTATATAGTAATCTAACCCCCCCCCAAAAAAAAACCCCACATCACTTTCAGACTCCATAATCAAAGAAGTTGACACATTGTTGAAAACGGTGAAAAGTCAGTTTGCTGAAAGAAATCCCATTTGCCAGTGAGAAATGATTTCCTTTCAGAGTTGATTCTTTTCCATGACGGCAAGTTATGGCTGTTTTATACTGCTATATATGGGGCATGTTTTCTTCATATCCATCACCCTGATTATTTTGGTCTCTTTTCTTTTTGAGTACCGTATTGAAAAGAGTTCCATAGCTGTATCTGGAACAGAAACCACTTCCTATATTGGCCAAGGTGTCAACAATATGACATCTTTTGAAGTCCAACCATTGGAAAAAAATATAACTTCATAAGAAAATGGAATCTCATGCTTTATATGCATGAGAAGATAAACAAGGAACTGGTGATACCTCAGCAGAATATCCAGTTATTCAATTTCTTTGTTGATGTCTACAGGTCTTGTTTTAAATCACCACAAGGTGATGCTTCTATAATTTTCTGTTGCAGACAGTTGCACCCTTCCCTCCCTGTAATTTATTTCTTTGTGACTGTTTCCCTACCTATTGACACCAACGTAATGGAAAATACCTTTGGTAGCTCTAGGCTGGAATAGTTTGGGGGTCTGTTTTGTAGGCATACTGCAGGAATGAATGGACTTTGGATTCAGAGCATCCAAGGCTGCTTCTGACACATGCTATTTCAGCTCCTACTGCCAGTCATAAATCTACACCTATGAATCTTTCTATGGGCATACTGGGGATCTCTTGGCTCCATCAGAACTTCCATCTCCCAGCCTTCAGCAGTGGCTAAAATTGCTCTGCTAGTTTAGAACTACGGCAGTGAATTGTTCTCAGCAGTTCCTTTACTTCAGTTATGCAGTGAAAGAGTATTTTGCACAATTATAATCTATATAAATGTTCCAGATTTGCAGAGCTTGTAAATTGCTAGTTATTGGCAGACTACTCCAGGAGTAAAGATTAATTTAAGTTCCATGTTTGCTGGACAGCAGAAATTTGCATAATATATTTAAAATGTAAATTAAAGATTTCTTCAATAATGCTTGCTGTTCTTGATTTGACAGTAAATGGGGAGGGGGAGGGGGGACATTGTGGCACACCAACAGAGCACACCTCTACACTTTCACAAGAACCAATGTGGCGTAATGGAACTTGCTGGGTAACCTTGAGCCTGTTACTCAGTCTAACCTACCTCACAAGGTTCTTGTGAATATAAATTGAAGATGGTGCCTTAAGTTCCTTTGAAGAAACATGGGATAAATGTATTTTTTAAAAAACCCTATTTGCAGTTGTGCTCCCCACTGATATCTGCATAATCACCAAGATGCTTCCAATTTTTAAACACGGTATAAAGGTCAATTTTTATTTTAACTATAACAACAACAAACCATATATATATTGTTTTAGAGGTTTCCTAATGACTTGCCACATACTACCTCAGTAATCCTTATAACTATCGATCAAGGGAGAGCTGTATTACCACAACTCTGTTGTTTGTGTTCTAGAGGCTTATTAGAAGGATGGGGGAAAGGGCAGTAGGAAAAGAGTTTCTTAAAAGAAAATAAAGTGTGATATTTCTGTGAGTAGAACATTACAAAATAAATGTTTAGACCACCTCCGCCTTCCCTGCCTGGTGCACTATGTATTGCTAGAATCAGTGCCTTTTTTGGTAAAAGGTGGCTGGACTCATTTTTTGATAAACGTACTGTGGGCTGCTAGCACATAATGGCTCCCACAGGCAGGGAAAAACAGGAGTGATGGTACTTTGGAACAGTAAGTACCATCACAAAAGAGGCTCTGCTAGAATCACAGAATTGTAGAATTGAAATGAAGGGACCATAAATACCATCTATTCCAACCCCCTGCAATGCAAGAATCTTTCACTCATTGTGGGGCTTGAACCCACGACCCTGAGATTAAGAGTCTCATGCTCTACCGACTGAGAAGCAGAACTTCTCCTTAGCCAAAAGACTGAGAAGCCCTTTCAAGACTTAGCCAGACATGACCCAAGTCAAATACAAATGGCCGATCAGGTCATGTTGCTGAACATTTATGTCATGTTCTGCAACAGGAAATAATAAGTAAACTGCATTATAACTTCTATTTATGTTTTCTGTTAAATGTTGAGAGAGAATTAAATCCACTTTCAACTTCTTCTTTTTAAGATAAGCTAGCTAAAATGTTACTGTGAAAGGCAACTGGCAGACCTTGGTTTGGTAGCTTTTAGTACTTCCAGGTCATCGAAAGAAAGCTGAAACTGGAGCATACAAGAGGTGTTTTCAACACTACTAGTCTACTTAGCTCAATATATTTATTCAAATGTCAAGTAATCTCTTCCTCTGCATAATTAAAATTATTCTGTTATTTCTGTGTCTTTTAATTTCTGACATTAAACTATTAAAGCCTTTAGTCCATATAGTTATTTATCTACATAAATCAATCTACCTTCCAGCTTTAACTTCGATGACATTTAATTTCATTAACACCTTCATTTCAGCTCATCAGTTCATTTTTATACATGGCATATATTTCATTGGTTTGGCAGCTTGAGAGCACAGCATCTGTGAGTCACTCATTATTTAACTCTTTCCTGCTAAGAAGCTCCCAAGCAACCAGCAGCTGACTATAATGGAAGAATTAATATGTCAAAATATAGCCATTGGTTTGTCTTCCAGTCTGGGCTAACAGATGTTATAATCCCAGATCTCATTCTTCACACAAGCAGATATATGCAAGAGGAATGTATTTGTTTTGATTGTGGAGGCAACTGCAAAAACACCATGTGTGACATAAACACATCTAATCTATCTATCAAGTCTAATTTACAACAGACTTTTGTGTCACTCTCAACTATGAAATGGAATCCAGCATGAGGTTAGGGAGGCAAAGGGTACAGTGTATGCCCGTAGGAGCAGGTGTTATTCTAAAGTTATTGAGATATATGGAGGAAAGTAGGCTAGCATAATCCTGCCCCACTTCCCCAGGATTCCCCCCCCCCCCAGCATGGAAGCTTTAGCCCCCTCCATGAGTTATCCCTCAAGCAATCATTGTGTGAAAGCAGAATGCGAGACTCACTTCGGGGGTTCTACATCTTGGTGGGAGTCTACCTGTGAATAGGAGTCTCTCCCCTACAGATGCATCTCTCAGCACATGAATGGCAGAGAGGTGAAGCTGATAGACAACAGCTTGGGATCAGTGTGGGATCAGTGTGTGAGGCCCATATTTATACCTTCACATGCAATCATTAATCATGTGAGGGGGAAGACCTGAATGGACGTTTAAGTTTTAAATATTGGGCTTTATTTTCAATATAGAAACTATGCAACCCCTACAAATGAAGAAACTGCAAACTCTCCCTTATTTTTTTTAAAAAAATAATATTTATTAATAATTTCAGAATTACAGAGAAAATAAAAAACAAAAAACAACAACACTACAATACATAAAAAGAAGAAAAAACGCAAAACATAAAAACCAATACAACAATACAATAAAAAAATATCAAAAAAGGAAAAAAAAGACACAAATCCCATATTGCATATCTTTAACTTCCATTTGCTTGTTTCGTTGACCTCCTCACACCTCCCTTTTTGTATTCTAGTTTAGTTAGTTATTTCAGCAAATTCTTTCCATCTTTCTCCATTTTTTATTAAATAATTTATCTTAACAATTTAACCTATTAATTAACTTGACAGATCCTTTCCATCTTTCCCCATATTCTGTTATTCAAATTACCTTAATTTATTTAACCTTATCTTACGATAAAATACCTTAAAGTTTGAAACTTAATACTCAGTTATACATAACCCCTGATATCATTTCTGCTAGAGTCATATAGTTTCATTCCAACATTTTCCCTAATATTCATTAATTTTAGGCTAATTCCCTAAATAAAAAGTTTTCTTTATAAATTTTCTTCCAATCTTCATCCAACGTCTCTTCTTCCTGGTCTCGAGTCGTTACTGTCCTCGTTACTGTCAGTCCTTACTGTCCATTCCATCTAGTCCATCAACCTGGAAGCCTTATGTCCGAGGCCCTTAAGTCTCTTCCATGTCCCTTCTGCAGATCTTCTTCTTCTTGTTTATACTTGCACTTTTCCTTGTGTTTTGTTGGTCTCTTTCTTAATTTCTTTCCTTTCTCGTTGAGGAGTAGGTCTCTGGGGGGTTCCAACTCAAAGTTATCTCCGTCTCCCTTCATCAAATCAGCCCATTCCCCACAGTCCCACTCCCCACAGTCATCAATATAATCAAAAAAATATTTACGAGCATATTTCGAAGTCTCTCTAAAGTTAAAAGCCTCCTCAGCTCCAGACTCCCCCTGGTCAACTCCGACTTCAATCTTCAAAAACAGCGGCTTATGCTCCTGTAGGGCCTTGGGCCTCTCCATTTGTATTATTTGAGGTGCAACCGCAGCCTCCTCCATTATCTTCTGCACTTGCCCAATCAATACAGGTTCCTGAGTTGGACCCTGGATGGTTTCTGTATCACTATTCACTAATTGTCCACAGTTATTGGCCACAACAGTCATCAAATCCATTTTCTCATTCATCAAATCCATCTTCTCATGCATCTGTTCCAACAGAGCACTTGTCTTGCATAAAGCAAGCACCAAAACTTCCTTCCAGCTCATATTTAGTCAAGGTCAAAAGGACTAATCCCACGATCTTAATCTCAGAGCTGTGGAGTCCTCAAGTAGACTGCAGCAACAATTTAGCAAGCTCCCTCTAGAGGAGACAATTTCTATTTGTATCCATCTTTTTAAGGCAAGTCCAACAAAGGAAAATTACTTTCATTTTTTCAGATATTTTGTTTCTTTAGAATGCAAAAGGCAACATTGGAATCAGTTTATTTCTCTTCTTAAGCTATCTGTCAAAGTATTCCATTCACAGTCAATGAACCTCTCCAACAATTTCTGTCTCTGACACCCCGTTCCCAGGTTAGAGACGGTGGAAACTTATCTTTCTTCACTCCCTCTCCTGCAGGCGTTACACAAAGTCCCCCCCCCTTTTCTACTGCTTCCAAGGGGGTTTCAGTAGTTGTAAATGAAGGAAATTTAGGCTTTTCTTAACGACTTTCCAGGCTTTAGCTTACAAGGTTTTTGCTTCAGTCTATATAAAAAAAGCGGACAGCGGACTTCCTGTTTTGAACCTTCCCACTTCGATGTCAAATTAAGATATTTCTTGATCCAATTTTCCGTTTCTACTCACGGGTACTTGTTTTAGATCCAACTGTCCACTGGAAAAAGTCAGCGCTCTCCGGCAATGGCTGTGCGGCTTCACTCCGTGAAAGTAGCAGTCAGTTCGCAGCACCGCGCCGCTCACCCCACTTCACTCCGGAATCCCAAAAATGGGTTCCCTGTGAGTAGGGGGGGCGCTCCTGGTGCCCTGCCGAACCCCACGTTCCCAGGCTTCCTCCGCCTGGGATTTCTAGCAGGTCCCCACCTTCGCCGCGGCGGGAAGACCCAGTTTCCACGGAGCTAGTTCCTCCGGTCGGAGGAACTCCGCCATTCACCGATGGCGCTAACCCGGAAGTCCTTGCAAACTCTCCCTTATTGCCCTCTACAAACCCGCATTATTTTACTGGCTACTCTAGAAATTTTGGCTTAAAACCAAGAGTGCTATTTTGCTAGTGGAAAATGTCTTCCTCTTCAGTAAGGGCTGTTTCTGATGAAGTGGAAACATGCTGTGTGAGTAAAGTGAGGCCAAACCTAGATTTCTTCCACTCACAAAACTCTTTTCATGAGGTGTTTTTTAATGGTCCACTGAAGTTTATTTGCTATCACATGAATTTTCTTTCTCCACTATATTTCTCATCACTGTGAGACTAGCACTTATTCAAGAGTTCACATAACTGCAGTAATATATTTTCTCCTTCTGCTCACAGTTGCTTAGATCCACCCCATGTAATGGCAAAAGCAATAATAAATATTTAACTTTTATTTGGGACTTCAAAATATTCAGAGTACTTTACATACATTATCTCATCTCAGAACTCACTATAACAGCTTGAAATACATGCTGGTACTATTATCCTGCAGAGGAGTGGAGACTGAGAGGAAACTGAGAGAATTGTAGCTTGCCTGAAGTCATGTAATTCACAACTGAGGTGAGATTACAACCAGAGATTTCCCAACTCAGACTCTTAGACACTTTGCTGCACTAGCTCTTGACTTGCTTTACCTACAGCTCATTCCTTCTTCACTATATCTGATCTTTTTCTCTTTTTTAAAACAAAAAAGCATAGTGAATGCTTCCAAGATAGAGGCATTTTGCACTAGATAAAGGTGAGGCTCAGAAAGGACAATGATAGGTTTTAAACAGGCAATATTGTAATATATCAAGAATAGTTTTATACTTCATTATTCACACCTTATTTCTCTTCATGGTGATAAATTTCAGGGGTGCAGTGCCTACCTGTATTTGGTTTCCCTGAGAAGGGAGGTGACTGGAGATGACAGACAGACAATTCTGTCAATTCCAGTTTCTCATTTTTCCAATCTTAAGCTCAGTTCTCAACATTTCTGTGCTTTAAAAGTGCTCATGAAAATTGATCAGCATTTTAGGGCAAATTTCTCCTAAAGTAGACATTATTTTTGTAGGTAATTTTGCCTAATATGCACATTTTTGCAAAACAAATTTCCTTGGTATGCTCTTTTAACTAACATGCATTTTATGCACACTTTATCCTAGTATATGCATTTATGCACACATTACTTGGCTGGAGAACAGCATTGCAAAATTTGGAGAAATGTTTTGAAAGGTGGCTGTGTTTCAGCTTGCGCATTGTTTAGGAAACTGAGAGTTTGGTACATGCATATTTGAATGCAAACTGAATAAATTATCTCCTCCATCCCTACTGGAGGCCTATGGTATCTTGTAACAGCTGAGTGAAGGAAAGGTGGATACACACCAAAACTCCAGATTTACTGCCAACATCAGATCTCCAGAAGGAGG